TGACTTGGGCACAGGTCATGATTTCACGGCTTGTGGGTTCGAGCCCGGTGTCAGGCTCTGTGCTGACAGCTCAGAGCCTGGAGCCTGCTTCGGTTTCTGTGTCTCCCTCTCTCTCTGCCTCTGCAAAGAGCCTGCCTCCTCTCTGAGGTACGGGGGGTTAGGGCTTCCACACATACATCTTGAAAGGACACAATTCAGCCCATGAGTGACTCATGTAACTTAGCATAGTAAGTAGTTGGTGGAGTTTTTATAAAGCAAAAGTACCTCCTTCATGGTTTTTCCACTCCACAAATGCGGCCAATTGTTAGGGTTTCCAGTGCTTTCCAACAGTCAGTCACTTCAGAAATGCAGGCACCATTAAACTGACAATGGCGAACCAAGGCGCATCACCCCTGGTAAGTGGGAATTGACTCCAATGCACCTCAAATAGATAAAGATGGGTCTATGGTATTTTTCAAGTTATAAAAATATAAAAGGAACATAGTATAGAAGTATAGAAAGAAAACTTTAAAGTTTCCACTTCTGGAACCCTCTTGCACTGTTGGTGGGAATGCAAATTGGTGCAGCTGCTCTGGAAAGCAGTGTGGAGGTTCCTCAGAAAATTAAAAATAGACCTATGCTATGACCCAGCAATAGCACTGCTAGGAATTTACCCAAGGGACACAGGAGTACTGATGCATAGGGGCACTTGTACCCCAATGTTCATAGCAGCACTCTCAACAATAGCCAAATTGTGGAAAGAGCCTAAATGTCCATCAACTGATGAATGGATAAAGAAATTGTGGTTTATATACACAGTGGACTACTACGTGGCAATGAGAAAAAACGAAATATGGCCTTTTGTAGCAACGTGGATGGAACTGGAGAGTGTGATGCTAAGTGAAATAAGCCACACAGAGAAAGACAGATACCATATGGTTTCACTCTTATGTGGATCTTGAGAAACTTAACAGAATCCCATGGGGGAGGGGAAGGAAAAAAAAAAAAAAGAGGTTAGAGTGGAAGAGAGCCAAAGCATAAGAGACTGTTAAAAACTGAGAACAAACTGAGGGTTGATGGGGGGTGGGAGGGAGGGGAGGGTGGGTGATGGGTACTGAGGAGGGCACCTTTTGGGATGAGCACTGGGTGTTGTATGGAAACCAATTTGACAATAAATTTCATATATTGAAAAATAAATAAATAAAAAAAATAAAGTTTCCACTTCTCCCATCTGATCCTCATCAGATGACCAGTGGTAAGCAGTTCAGTAGGATGTATTTTTCCATGTTAAAAATGCCTGCAGGGGCGCCTCGGTGGCTCAGTTAAGCGCCCAACTCTTGATTTTGGCTCAGGTCATGGTCTTGTAGTCGGTGGGATTGAGCCCCACACTGGGCTCTGTGCAGACAATGTGGAGTCTGCTTGGGATCCATTCTCTCTCTCTCTCTGATCCTCTCCTGCTATCTCTCTCTTAAAATAAATAGACTTGGAATAATAATAATAATAATAATAATAATAATGTCTGTATATGAGAACTGACACTAAGGCACATGCAAATATGGGAGTCCACATGGAGGTATTTTCACACCCACCTCACTTTTATCAGAAATCCTTCATAATATCTCAGCTTCGTGATATCTTTCAGTGGAGGTAGATTTAACGGCTCAATGTTATATGTCATCAACACATCTCAGTGGGAGGAGGGGTGATAATGCACCTTCCTCTTGCTGGTGACAGCAGCAAGTCCCAGCGCCCGACGTCTTTCTTGAGCAGACCTCGCTCGTTGGCCACCTGACGGCTCTCCCCGGTGCGCTGTCCTCTTGCCTCCCTCACAACAGAGAGCTTAGGAACAAGACAGATGTCCTCTTTCCTAGACTCCCTTGCAGCGAAGGAAGGAGATGTGACCCCCATTTTTCAGCAAGATATAAGGGAAGTCAGCTGTGGCTTCCAACAAAGATCTCTCTCTCCTGACAGAAGGAAAGGTGACCACAACGCTCTTCTCTGCCGTGACATAAAGTCACGTGGGGCCACCGAGCCCATGGGGGAGGGCCAGGAAACAGCAAGGGTGCTCCTCCACCCAGAAGAAGAAGAGCTCCCCGGGAATTGGACCACGTTGACATCAGGGACTTTCAGTCATCAAAATACACCACAGGCTGGAAGATCTCTACCAGTGCCTCTAACCAACCCGAGAGTCATGATCAGATTATACTAAAAACTCCTACCAATCCGCACGTAAAGGGGCACGCTTCACCACAGAGGATATCCAAAGAGCTAGTAAGCATATGAACAAGAGCCCAACGTTCTTGGTTATCAACAAAATGCAAATCAAAACCACAGTGAGATTCACCATCCACCCACCAGAAGGCCTAAAATCAAAAGGCTGAAAATACCAAGTGTTGACAAAGATATCGAGCAAGCGGAACGTTCAGACGCTGTTGGTAGGAATGCAAGTTGACATAATGAGTTCAGAAACTATTTGTCAGTATCTCCTAAGGATGGACCTATCTGCAGATCTCAGGGGCATCTTCTCGCCGTTCTGGTCACTGCCACCTCAAAGAGGCATCACAGAGGGGACAGTGCCGTGGGCAGGAGCAGCGGACCCCGCACCCTCAAGATCTCTTCCTCACCTCCACTGTCCCTACTCATCATTTGCTTGGTGTCCCCCTGGCCTGGCGGGAGGCGGCAGACACGGCCTCTGGGTAGGAGACCCCCGCCCAGAGCCTCAGTCTCACGGCAGAGCCGGACTTGTCGTGTGTCTCTGTCCCGTTAGGACACCTGCTGTCTTGTTGTCTTTCCATCCTGGTGTTTGTAACAACCGTCAAAGGAACGCCAATCTAGCAGCTACGAGACGCAAGCAAATATAGAGCCGCAGAATGCAGCGATCGAACAGCCGCAGCAGCCACAGCGGGGCAGACCGGAATGGTCCTTCTCGAAGTGAAAGCGGTCCGAGGACAGCAGTCCCGATGAAGGAAGGGTGCACGCGTACATGCACAGCCTCGCCCAACTATGAGGAGACAGCCGGGGAAACCTGGGATCCAAACATCCTGCAGGACACCTGGCCCGCCTGGCTCTTCAAAAAAGCGAATGTTTTTAGAAGGAAAAGAAGAAGCGGGGACTGCTTCAGATTACAACCAGCCTAACCAAGTGCAACGTGTGAATTTTACATAGAAAAAAAGTTACGGAAGACCTACCGGGAAATTCTAAGTATCGGTGACTTTGCAGAATACTTATCAGGTATTAGGTGTGATAAAGGTATTACACAGAACAATTTCCTTATTCTTCAGACATACATATTTAAACATGTGGGAGTAAAATATCATGATGTCTGCAAGTCCCTTCGAAAAACAACTGGTGAGGTTACCTTTCACCAGTTACTGGTAACAAACATAGTTTTTACCAGTTCACAAATTGGTAAAAGGTATATACACGTGTTTGCTGTACTCTTTTTTCAAGTTTTTTGTAGATTTAAATTTTTTTCAGAAGAATTTCAGGAAAAGAATCTCTAAGTAATGAAAAATAAAACTTAGTTTTATTATTGTTTTTAATGTTTATTTATTTTTGAGAGAGAGGAGAGAGAGTGCAAATGGGGAGGGGCAGAGAGAGAGAGAGACACAGAATCCGAAGCAGGCTCCAGGCTCCGAGCTGGCAGCACAGAGCCCCGATGCAGGGCTTGAACTCACGGACTGGGAGATCATGACCTGAGCTGAAGTTGGACGCCTAACCAGCTGAGCTACACAGGCACCCCTAAAACTTAGTTTTTTTTTTTTAAATTTTTTTTTTCAACGTTTATTTATTTTTGGGACAGAGAGAGACAGAGCATGAACGGGGGAGGGGCAGAGAGAGAGGGAGACACAGAATCGGAAACAGGCTCCAGGCTCTGAGCCATCAGCCCAGAGCCCGACGCGGGGTTCGAACTCACGGACCGCGAGATCGTGACCTGGCTGAAGTCGGACGCTTAACCGACTGCGCCACCCAGGCGCCCCACCTAAAACTTAGTTTTAAATATAAATTTGATGCTAAGGGGCGCCTGGGTGGCTCAGTCAGTTAAGGGTCCGACTTCAGGTCAGGTCATAATCTTGCGGCCCGTGAGTTCGAGCCCCGCGGCGGGCTCTGTGCTGACAGCTCAGAGCCTGGAGCCCGCTTCGGATTCTGTGTCTCCCCCTCTCTCTCTACCCCTCCCCTGCTCATACTCTGTCTCTCTCTCTCTCCTTCAAAAATAAATAAACATTAAAAAAAAATTTTTATAATTAGATGTTAAAACAATAGGGACCATAACACCCTGCTCCAGAAATGTGTCACGTGGCAAAATCTATGGTTTTGTTTTACATTCTGAACATTTACTGCAGCGACACGCAGAGAAATAGGATATGAAGCCGCAAAACCCAGAGAAATAAAGACATGGCCGATAGCTTTGATAAAGACCCAGGGAGAGAGTGAGCACAGATCCCAAATGCACAGAGAGACACAGACATGCTCTCACACGAAGTGGGAACAGCGCCCACAGAATGCCATCCTCTTGGAAAACAGCCACTAAACAGGTTGAAAAAGTGGAAGCAGAATCATTCGGTCAGGAGCTCAAGCACCAGCCCTGGCTCTTACTAGCTACAGGACTCTGGGTAAGTTTCCCTTGTAACTATCCAGGTTTCCACTTCCTTATCAAAAGTGATGATTAAAATACAAAGATGCATTGGTTGCAAAGAGAATTACGTTCAACACTTAGCAAAGTGCCTGGCCGCTCTTATTATGATCACAGACATACTTCACAAGTTTTTGGGGGGTGCCTGAGAACTTAAATAATCATCTCAGGGCGCCTGGGTGGCTCAGTTGGTCAAGTGTCCGACTCTTGATTTTGGTTCAGGCCGTGATCCCAGGGTCACGGGATCCAGCCCTGCATCAGGCTCCCAGTGGGGTGTGGAGCCTGCTTAAGATTCTCTCTCTCTCCCTCTGCCCTTCTCCCCTGCTCATGCTCTCTCTCTCTCTCTCTTTAAAATGAAAAAAAAAAATTAAATAAAGGTCATACTGAATAAGTGGTGGCTGTTTTTATGAAAGTCTGAATAGATACGTGTAAAACATTCTGCATGAGGTCATAATGTTTAAGAAGAGATGCTCTAGACTGGGTAAGAAATTGTACCTTCGTATAGAAATTGCTAAGATGTTTTCTTTGTGGGGGAGCAAGGCACAGATAAGATAGATGGCCTCTGCCTCAAATCTGTTTTATTTAAAACAAAAACTGGCCAACTCGTCATCAGATTTTTCAGTGAGCAAGATACTGAGAAGATAGGAAAATGCATTAAGCGTGCCACTGCATACCTTTGACCTTTGACACCCTGATCACCTTTCTCTTCAGGTTTTGGGGTGTCTAGCCTTTTTTCCCTTCAATTTCATTATATTTTAGAGGAGATGGGGTAGCCTACAGCCACGTAGAGTCATCCAGGCGTGGCTGCCCCCTGACATGATGACATGCCGTTTTGTGCTCAATCCTGTTTCTTTTTCCTCCAAGAAGGAGCTTAGGAGGTCCGTGGGGAACCCGACAAAACACGGTAGAAGCCGCGGGTGAGCAGAGAACCTGCCCCAGCCACCCTCACACTTTCTTCTTCCATGACTTCTAGACACCTGTCACCTCCACGCCAGGTGTGAGGAAGGAGGAGATGGTCACCCAAGAGACCGAGAAGAGCTGCTCGGATGATCAGATGAGGCCAAGTTTAGCATACAGGAGGGACTTCTCGTCCGTGTTTTCCCTAACGGCAGCAAGGAGTGTGAGAGAAACGGCTGCACAGTTGTACACAATGTTAAGGAGTATTCTTGGAAAGATCGGAGGTGAGAGTGAGTTAAGCTTTGCCAGCCGACGTTGTCTCCAACATGTTGAGGACGGAGGCGCCGCCACATTAGCCGAGCGGTCAGGCGTACTGCGTGTGGTGCTTAACTTTACGCATCAACTTGCTGGATCCCGGGGCGCCCAGGCGCTGGGTAAACGGTGTTTCTGAGTGTGTCCGCGAGGGTGTTTCCGCAGAGATTCACGTTTGGGTACGTGGACTGGATGAAGCAGACTGCCCCCTCCTCAGTGTGGGTGGGCCTCAGCCTGAATAGAACAAAAAAAGGAAGGGAGAATTTGCTCTCCGTCCGGCTACTTGCACTGGGACACGCCCTCCTGCCCTTGGGCTGGGAATTCTGCCATCAGCTCCCTGGATTCTCAGGCCTTTGGACTTGGGCCGGAATGTACCCCAGAGGCCCCTGGGGCTCCAGCTTGCACACGGCAGATCTTAGGACTTGCCTATAATTGCATGAGCCAGTCCTTATAATAAATCTCTCTCTCTCTCTCTCTCTCTCAATCCCTCCTTCCCATATATGAGATACCGTGTACATGTCATGCATAGATACACATGCATGTATCTCTAAGTGCACATACATCCTAACCAATATACTGAGATTTAGGACTCATGGCATACGGACTGCAGCTGAAGCCGTGGATGCGGATGACATCAGCCCAAGAGAGCATGTCAGGAGCAGAGAGGACAGCACCTAGGACAGCATCCATACTTAGGAGCAGGAAGGCATCTGTAAGGAGAAGCTGAAGAGGGAGGAGCAAAACCCAGAAGCCCTGGTGCCACAGACCCCGGGGCACAACCACAGGAGAATCCTGGAAGGAGAGGCATTTTAACTAGGACTTGGACGCCCCCCTTGCCAACTTCAGACATTCAAACAGCAGATTTTCTACACTGACTTGTTGCTTTTCGTTGCATCTCTATATTGATTTGCAATGTCACTGCCGGGGAGAGTTGCAAGTGGAAACGGCTATTGCTTCTTAAAATGTTTTTCTTCGAGGCTCGGCGGGGAACTGACATGTGCCAAAATATCACTGCCCAGACCCCTTGTTGCTGGCAGGGGCACAGGCAGCCCGCGTGGAAGAACCACGCGTGATCAGTGTTAGCGGCACCGACAGTGGGCGATCGGACCACGGCTCCTCCTTCCTGGAGCCTTGTGGACTTTACACCAGCACCTAGGAAGCGTCCTCGTCCCACAGGGTTAGCCTGAGTTGAATGAAGCCTTTCTGTCTGCCTTCCGGGTTACGGACAAATCCAGGATAAAGGAGACAGGCAAAATCAGGAGGTGGGACGCTGACACTTAGGGCCGCGTTCAGTACATAGTATGACCGTGCCTTCAGAAAGTCAGGGTCGTGGAACAAGGCTCGGGCATGCACAGCAGGGGACTATGTTTTATTAAGAGAGATTACACTAGACATAGTAATGTGGTGCACGGTCCTTAACTGGGGCCTGGTGTGGACACACAAAAGCAAGTCCTGAGACAACCGTGACACAGCTGGAAAGCTGAACTAGGACTTGACATTGGAGATACTGGGGCATTATTCATCTGGTCAGGTATGATGGTGATCATGTGACTATAGAGTAAAAGTTCCATTTTTGGAAATGTTTATTTATCTTTGAGAGAGAGAACACGTGAGTGGGGGAGGACAGAGAGAGAGGGAGAGAGAGAATCCCAAGCAGGCTTTGCACTGTCAGAGCAGAGCCCAACATGGGGCTCGAACTCACGAACCATGAGGCCCGAGGCAAAGTCAGACACTTAACCAACTGAGCCACCCAAATGGCCCTAAAAGTTTCTTTTTTATTTTAATATTTATTTTTATTTTTGAGAGAGAGAGAGAGAGAGAGACAGAGTGAGCTGGGGAGGGGTAGAGAGAGACACACACACACATACACAGAATCCAAAGAAGGCTCCAGGCTCTGAGCTGTCAGCACAGAGCCTGACATGGGGCTTGAACTCATGAACCATGAGATCATGACCTGAGTTGAAGTCAGACGCTTAACAGACTGAGCCACCCAGGCACCCCCCTAGAAGTTTATTTTTTTTAAAAAAGAAAGGCATACTGGTGAAGCATTTAGAGGTGAACTGTCATAATGTCTATAACTCACATTGCAAATACGGCAGAAAAAATGTGGGAGAGGGATGTCTTTCTTTTAAAGAGATACACGACACAATATTTAGGGGTTTAAAATGTTTTACACACACACAAATTAATGAAACAAACAGAACGGAGTTAGACATCACTAACGTTCACCAACATCTGGTCCCCCGTCCTTTCTGATGGCCTGAGCGGGGTGGGGGGTTACACTCCGCCATGTTCTTGAAGTTACTACCCTAACGGACAGGTCATCAGATCTGCCAACGGAGCATGAGCAGAAGTAATGAGGAACTTCAAGGGCAGCGTCTGCTTCTCTACACTGGCTCTCAGCCTGCTCTCGGCCTGCACCATGGAGCACTCAGAAGTCTCTTGCCTTGATGTTGGAGACTCTGTCAACCCGGGTCCTCAAGCAAAGACCCTTGCCTTCCCGCCGACCTATGCTGGACACAGAGCAATACATTTTGTTGCTTTAAAAACTGCTATGGGGCACCTGGGTGGCTCAGTCGGGTAAGCCTCCGACTTCGGCTCAGTTCACGTTCTCTGGGTTCATGAGTTCTCTGTGCTGACAGCTCAGAGCCTGGAGCCTGCTTTGGATTCTGCGGCTCCCTCGCTCTCTGCCCCTCCCCACCCCCCAAAGACAAATAAATGTAAATAAAAAAATATTAAAAAAAAAACTGCTGTAAGGCCACTGAGGTTGTTTGTTACTGAGGTATAACATAGCCTTTCCTGACTGATACAGTTAACAAGTATTGAAGCTGGGTGACAGGTTGATTTCACGGTAAAATCAATACAATTGTTTACAATACAATATTCTCACAAGAAAAGATTCAAGAAATGATCTGCTTTGAAAATGAGTCTCTATCTCGCTGGCATCGCATTGAGACTTCGGCATATTAACGTCTTCTTTGTGGTGCTGAAGCCAACTCTACTGTCAGCGTAACTATTTTGATACAGTGGAAAGAGTCAGGACTCGGTACTATTTGTAACATTTATTCTGATTGACAAGAATCAGGTTCTCTGGATTTCACTTTCCTTCCCCCATAAAAATGAAGAGTTTAGATGACACAGCCTCTGAGCTGCTTTCCACTTCTAAACTATAAAGATTAAGTAATTTAGGTATGTATCCGATTATTTCTAAATGCATATAAACACATATGATAGGCAGCTGATTTTAAATCTATTTGCTTTTTCTTTGAGCTTAAATTTCTTTCTTGATCGTATTAATTTTGTTTCTTGTGTAGATACACTGCCAAGGAAAACATTTTTAAGAAGCTGGTGACTTTGAGGGTGAAAGCAAATAAATGTCATCTTCCCATCCCAAAGCATTCGCCAAATAGTAGCCCATATAAGGACTGAGTAGGTACGAAGCACCTTGAGGAGACCCAGGGCCAGAAGAGGGGAGAACTCAGTGTATGGGAAATATACATTTATAGAGATAAGACTGTTTACAACTCTTACTCTTACAAAGAAAGCTGGGGCTATTTTAAGTGTCAGAAATTGGGACTTTAGTGCTATTTTAAGGCAATAAATTCAATACTTAAACAGAAATAGTAATCAACAATATACCACCCAGGAATAATATACTTTGAGAAGATTCCCTGGTGACTAGGGGCCAGAGGCTGGGAGCAAACACTTCCTTACGTCACTCTTCTGGTTTCCACGTGGAAGGATCTCACTGGGGTGACACTCTGGGCCCCTTCTACTCTCTCCTTGCCCCATGGAGGCAAAAAGGGCTCATATGACTGATTATCATCAAAGTCAGGACGGTGGTTCTGTTACTGCGATGGCTACTGAAGGTGGCAGGGGACATACAGAAGAAGCTTCCAGGTTGGATGGCCACTCTCGGTTTCTTGACTTGGTTAGTGCTTTCCAGTATATATCTAACAACAATGCCCTTATGTCATATATTCGTCTTTTGTGGTTTTCTGAATTTTCACTTTACAGTAAGAAGAGTCTGGGTGGTCATTTGGGGCAAGGGACGTAAGGGTCAGTGGCTTGGCCCCTTCCTTTTCCGTCTCTCTTGGGGGGGTACCTATCTGCAGAAGTGGGCCTTCTCCACTCCTCCATGCCTTGGGCCGTAGGGGACCAGGTCCCCCAAAGATGGGGAGGCCAACAGTGAGGACAGCTCCGGTAGCTGTTCAGTTCTGTCGGTGACTAAGGAAGTGGGTCTTGTTCTGGAGCCTGGTACCGGGAGGTCCATTTGGCTGCAGAAGGAAAACCCCATTTGCTAAAGCCAGGGCTAACGGCCCTAACGCCAGGGATCAGAGGGAGAGAGGAAAACCCTTGAAAACACCAACATGGATGTTGACTCTCCCACGCCCACACCCTTTTCTCGACAGATTGGGTGGGGGGGTAGCATAGGGCATTTTTTATTTTTGGTCTTATTTGTTACTAGCCAACAGTGCTATAGAAGACGAGAAAACAAGACAAGGGGAAAGGTGTTAAGTCGGATAGGTATCCGCAAGTAGAATGAAAGCCATCGGCAGCATTCCTAGGATGTGTTCAATAAAAATAAGTTCGCAAGCAGAGCCTGTGTGTGTTAAACACGGACAGAGAGGGAACGGAAAGACTAAGAGGTACCTGCAGTTCGTGACTCTAAATATTCACGAGGTTTTCATTCGACCACCCTGTCTGGCCCTCTGTGTCCTCAGTCTGAGAAATGCAAATAGAACCCCGAGCTGTGGAGCTGCTCACAATAGTGAGCTGGCTGGCAACAGTGATGGGGACAGGGGTGCCTGGCTGCGGGCACCTCTCTGGATTGGGTCTCCTTGTTCAAACATCCATCTGGCCCTTGTGACAACAAGGCTGGCATGGTTCACGCAGCAAAGACAGACAGACAGACAGACACACAGGTGACATTAACACAGCGTATCGAGGATTCAGGGAGTGAATCCCCACCCACCTGCTTGCACCCAACCCTGAGACCATTAGTGAACCCTATTTCTTTCCCTTTGCTCCTCCCTGTGTGTCTTAACTGACTTAATGATCTAAGTGCTTGGAGCGGCTTAATTTGTCCTTCTGTGCTGGGATGTCCGGGACTGCTTGCCTGGATCACCTGACTGGTGGTGTCCAGCTGGCGATGACTATGGGATGAACCCCAACTAAGTGCACGGGAAAAACCAGGTTACACTGCAGAAATGCTCTCTGGCATGAAAGGAATACTTAAAAGGAAGACCTCCAACCTAGGAGACTGGGAAAACTGATGAGTTTTTACAATTAGAAAGGCTTTAAGCAAGAGATTAGGAAATAAATCCAGGCCAAAAATTCAAGGGAAGCCTGATCAAATCTAAAGAGAAAAGACAACCCAGAAAACCCAAAGGCGAAGGAGATGTCCCCGGGGTTGGTGAGCTGTGAGGAGTGTGGGCAAGCCCGAAGTCAGCCGGAGCAGGGCCTGGGGGCTGACCCCAGATGGCTCCTGCCTAACCTACCTTCCCCCGACTCTGCCTGGGGGCAGAAAGAGGATCACCATGGTCGAGGGCACAGAGTATGACCCGCAGACCCAAAAATACTGTTCGTGGCCCTGTCACCGATCACAAAACCGAGGAACTTATACCAGGTGAGACTAAAGAAGTGAAGAGTTTGATCAAATCTTAGGAAAACATAATGAGTTAACAGAGCGAGAGAAAAAACAGATCCTGCTCTGAGCCACTTGGTCACTGTGGTTTTGTCTTTCCAAGACTGTCTGACAAAGGGAATCACGTCACCCTTGACGCCCGCAGCCAGGCTTCTTTCTCTGGGCGTCAGGCCCCCGATGTGGACCCTGGGTGCCAAACGTGTCAGTTGCGAGTCCCTTCTCGCTGCCGGGCATAACCCCGTGGAATGGTCGCTCATCCTCTCTTGTGCCAAAGGACACTGGGTGGTGTCCAGTGTTTGACAATTACGGCTAAAGCTTCTACAAGTTTCTTTTTTTTTTTTTTTTAAATTTTTTTTTCAACATTTTTATTTATTTGTGGGACAGAGAGAGACAGAGCATGAACGGGGGAGGGGCAGAGAGAGAGGGAGACACAGAATCGGAAACAGGCTCCAGGCTCTGAGCCATCAGCCCAGAGCCTGACGCGGGGCTCGAACCCATGGACCGCGAGATCGTGACCTGGATGAAGTCGGACGCTTAACCGACTGCGCCACCCAGGCGCCCCAGCTTCTACAAGTTTCTGTGTGAACAGAATGTTTTATTTCTCGAGGCTCAAATCCCAGCAGTGGGACTCCCAGGCATCCACTAAGTGTCTGTTGAACTCTGGGGACACTATTGAGCCCCCCTCCTGGGGGCTGTGCTCTGTCCTGCACCCCCAGGATGCATGGGGTTCCTGCTGTCTCACATCCTTGTCAGCACTTGGCGTCATTGGGGTTTTTATTTTAATCATCCTAATAGGGTTGTAGTGGCTCCTTCTAATTCCTTTTTTCCCCCTCTTTCTTGGGAAACTTTGGGGACTGACTGATCATAAAAACAAACAAATGAACAAAAACCCAAACCCTGTCACTTATTACAGACCTGGAAGAAAAAGTATGGAAAGTGGCTGAGGGGGAAAAAAGATCTGAACAGCCAACGAGCAAAAGAGCTTCTGGACATCATCCGAAGAGGGTTTTAGGACCAGATGTTGTACAGGAAACCTAAAAATAATGGCTCTCTTTCTGACAAGACAAGACGACCATGCAAAGCCAATGGTGCATAAAGGTGTTGGGGATACGTGTTCTCGCCTCCGGCAACCCCTCTGTGAGGTTGTGGAAAGACCCAGGAACCTAGAATGAGCACCGTCACAGCAGCAAAATGGCCTGTGAGCGAGCGACACGAGCCCTTCACTCTCTCCCACTGTCCCATCCTGTTGAAGTTGCTATTTTTGATAACCGTGTTTCCTTACCCCTGCTTCATGTCGGCAAGCAGGCTTTGGGGCTAAAGGTGTGTTCCAGTCTGGATCTAAATAGACACCAATTTCATGCATGCACATACACACACACACGTGTGTGTGCTCTGACAGTGTGTTGAGTGTTACAACAACCTGGAAAATACTAACTAACCAGACTTGGGGGGACCCAAGTCCCCTATAAAACAAAGAGGTACAGCACAGAGCAGGCTGACCCAGAACCTGCGGCACGCCATTCCTGTGGGAAGACACAACTTCCCCAGGAGGGGGCTTGCTGGCGGTGACAAACTTGGATGGGGGAGGCGGGGAGCTGGAGGGGAGGCCCCTGGGCCCTGGGGCATCCCTGTCTTGGTGCCGTGCTGATACCCGGGTTGCCTGCCGGATACCTGCCGCTACAAGACCACGGTCAACCAAAGATTGGGGAGATAACAAGTTGGCTCCATTCCAAGCTACAGCTGAAAACATAATTACAACGTATTTTACACGGAGTCCTAAACAATACCAAAATTTCGTCTGCAAGCCACTCTGGAAAACAGTGTGGAGGTTCCTCAAAAAATTAAAAATAGATCTACCCTATGACCCAGGAATAGCGCTGCTAGGAATTTACCCAAGGGACACAGGAGTGCTGATGCACAGGGGCCCTTGTACCCCAATGTTTATAGCAGCGCTTTCAACAGTAGCCAAATTATGGAAAGAGCCGAAATGTCCATCAACTGATGAACGGATAAAGAAATTGTGGTTTATATACACAATGGAGTACTACGTGCCAATGAGAAAGAATGAAATATGGCCTTTTGCAGCAACGTGGATGGAACTGGAGAGTGTTGTGCTAAGTGAAATAAGCCATACAGAGAAAAACAGATACCATATGTTTTCACTCTTATGTGGATCCTGAGAAACTTAACAGAAGACCATGGGGGAGGGGAAGGGAAAAAAAAAAAAAGTTAGAGAGGGAGGGAGCCAAACCATAAGAGACTCTTAAAAACTGAGAATAAACTGAGGGTTGATGGGGGGTGGGCGATGGGCATTGAGGAGGGCACCTGTTGGGATGAGCCCTGGGTGTTGTATGGAAACGAATTTGCCAATAAATTTCATTAAAAAAATAAATAAATAAAAAAAATTTGGTCTGCAAATTGACAGACTATAATCTGAGAAGTTGGGGTGCCTGGGGGACTCACTCAGTTGAGTGTCCGACTCTTGGTTTCAGCTCAGTTCACGATCTAAGTGTCATGGGATGGAGCCCCGTGTCGGGCTCTGTGCTGAGTATGGACTCTGCTTAAGATTCTCTTTCTCTTCCTTGGCCCCTCCCTGAGCTCGCGCTCGCTATCTCTCCCCTCTCAAAAACTAAAAACAAACAAAATAAACTGACAAGTTGTTGGCAAAAGGGTAGAGCAATACAACTAAAGATCACAACATTTCCAAGCGATGGGTGGGATATGGCCCGATTCGTATCTTAAAGCAACCATCTGGAGCTATGTAATAGGTCATGGGTGACGTAACTCAGATGGCAGTGCACCAGTGGGACAAGAACACGTTATGTCACAGAAGTGGCGCACTGTGTTCCTGAAACTTTAGAACATCAAGGAAAAAATCCTTTGATAATAAGGGCTAAACAAAGACACATTCCCTTAACAAGGAAGCCATTTTAACAGCCATCCAAGGGAGTGAGCCTTTCATCCGACGGGGGAGAGATGCGGTTATGAGAGGAGGTAAACGGAGCCAGTGATGGTGGATGGGTTACGGGCAGACATTACACAGAGCGAAGGAGCACTGCCATGGATACAAACTGGGGGTTAGTGGCTGCTGTTCTGCCAGACCTGTGATGCCAGCTGCCCAGCCATGTCTCTCCAGTGACAGCAGCTGACCTGGCTCGTGCCCCAGGGGGTGCTTCTGCTCGCCCTTCTCTCCAAGTGGGAAGTACAGGACGTTCCTTGGACTCATTTGGCCTAGAGAGAGTTAAGAAGCATCAATTAAAAATAGGAATGTGAACCAGTGCAGCCACTGTGGAAAACAGTATGGAGGTTTGTTAAAAAATTAAAAACAGAGGGGGCGCCGGGGGGGCTCAGTCAATTAAGTGCCTGACTCTTGATTTTGGCTCAGGTCATGATCTCATGGTTTGTGGGTTTGAGTCTGCTTGGGATCCTCCCTCTCTGCCCCTCCCCTGCTTGTGTGCATGTGTGCACGCTGGTTCTCACTCAAAAATAAATAGATAAACTTAAAAAAAAACTAAAAGTGGAAATATCCTAGGATCCAGTAATTCCACTACTGGCTATTTACTCGAAGAACACAAAAACATTAATTCAAAAAGATGTATGCAACCTTATGCTTGTTGCAACGTTATTTACAATAGCCGAAATATGGAAACAATCAAATGTCTTTCAATAGATGAATGAACAAAGAGGTGGTACACACACACACACACACACACACACACACACACACGCACACACACAGTGGAATAGTACTTAGCCATAAAAAGAATGGAAGCTTGCCATTTGCAACAACATGGATGAACCCAGATGGTGTTATGCCAAGTGAAATAAGTCAGAGAAAGACAATACCGTATGATTTCACTTAAATGTGCAATCTAAAAAACAAAACAGGGGCGCCTGGGTGGCTCAGTGGGTTAAGCGTCCGACTTTGGCTCAGGTCATGATCTCACGGTTTGTGGGTTCGAGCCCCGTGTTGGGCTCTGTGCTGACAGCTCGGAGCCTGGAGCCTGCTTCGGATTCTGTGTCTCCCTCTCTCTCCGCCCCTCCTGCTTGCGTTCTTTCTCTGTCTCTCTCAAAAATAAACATTAAAAAATAAAAAGTAAACAAGTGAACAAACAAGCAAATGAAACAACAAACTGACTCTGAAATACAGAGAACAAACTGGTGGCTGCCAGAGGGGAGGTGGGCGGAGGGATGGGTGAAACAGGTGAAGGGGATTAAGAGGCACAAACTTCCGGTTGTAAACTAAATAAGTCACAGAGACGAAAAGTACAGCATTGGGAGTAGAATCAATAAGATTGTAATAACCTTATGTGGTGGCAGGGGTACCTACATTCATCATGAGGAGCACTGAGTAATGGAGAGAATTGTACAATCAGTACGTTGTACACCTGAAGCTAATATAACATTGTACGTCAACTACACTTCAGTAATAAATAATAAATAAAGCTTAAAAAATAAATAGAACCTCCATCCGAGGACGACAACAACAACAACAACAAAATAGGTTGCCTAACAAAATAAACTCCTAAGGTTTTAAGGGTGCTGGTGTTTCAACATAACTCCCTCTCTTAGGAAAGTGGCCAAGAGGAAATCTGTCACAATGATGAAGCGTCTGCATACCTGGACCGCCCAAAATGCAGAAAAAGTTCTTTTAAAAATCAATACTATTAGATGTAAGTTAAACAAGTTCAAAAATGTTGTTGGTAAGTGCAGAGGTATATAAATTGTATTAAAAGTTGCAGGAGAAATACTGCTGTTTTACCTGAATTCTTGGGCAAATTATATCAGTGTGGCAATTCTGAGTTAAAAAAGGGCTGTGTATCTTCTCTCTGACCTCATTATTTTACGTTTTTAAAGTTTATTCATTTTTGAGAGCAAGAGAGTGAGCACAAAGAGGGAAGGGGCAGAGAGAGAGAGAGAGAGAGAGCGAGAGAATCCCAAGGAGGCTCCTCGCTGACAGCACAAAGCCCGATGTGGGGCTGGAACTCACAAACTGTGAGATCACAACCTGAGCAGAAATCCAGAGTCGGCATTTAACCAACTGAGCCAGTTAGGTGCCCCTAACCTCATTATTTTAAACCTTATGAATATCCTCTGTTGGTTTTGTGGGTCAGATAAATTATTCTTTACATATGATATTTTCAGGCATGAAAATACAAACATGTGCATTTAACTAAATTAAGAAATAACTCCTGTTTTATAAAAACAATGGGTTTTTGTAAACTCCAAAAAATAATGCAAATGGTTTTAACATGGTTATTTCACTTCTGCTATCTGCATGTGATTTTTTAAACTATTTTTTAAAATTTATTAATTTTGAGAGATGGAGAGCAAGTGGGGGAGGGGCAGAGAAAGAGAGGGAGGGAGATCACAAGCAGGCTCCATACTGTGAGCGCGGAGCCTGATGTGGGGCTCGATCTCATGCACTGTGAGATCATGACTTGAGTGGAGACCAAGAGCTGGGCACTTAACTGAATGAGCCACCCAGGTGCCCCTCTGCATATGACTTTTAAACATCACCTCTCTGTTTTTACAGTTGAGGATTATGTTACACTTTAGATATAATTCTTGAGATCTTTTGATTTTAACCCCTGGGACTAATATTAAGTTAATAAATAACATTGTCATCTGAAATCTTTGGTGATTAAAATGCATACAGATTACAAAAATGATCGATCACTCTATTAATACATACTTGCTTTTGGTGAAGTTCCAATTAAGACGGTAAATGTAGGTGGGATATATACTGCCTGTTGCCCTACATTTGCTACTGTTAATTTGTTTTAAAAGGCTGAAATTAAGACTTTAAATTGTTATCTAACTACACATATGTACATTTGTGTGTATTTAAATAAATAAACACGCACATTAAAATGTGTTTGACTGAAAAAGCTTATGAATGATAAAGAGAACAAACAGTTCAGATAAATATTACTTTGATCTTTGAATATACAGTGTGCTCTAAAGAAAACAGGAAACAACAAAAGAGTCCTTTGTCTCCAGTGGAAGACACAACCCCACAGTTAACTCTTATCTACTGAAGGGCAGAGTTTCAGGAGGCTGTTCTGTTTGTAGCACTGATTTCTTGAATTATTTTATTTTATTTCTATTATTATTATTATTTTACGTTTATTTATTTGAGACAGAGAGAGCACAAGTGGGGGAGGAGCAGAGAGAGAGGGAGAGAGAGAATCCCAAGCAGGCTCCACACTGTCAGAGCAGAGCCTGACGCGGGGCTTGAACCCATGGACCGTAAGCTCAGGACCTGAGCTAAAATTAAGAGTGGGATACTTAACCGACTGAGCCAGCAGGAGCCCCATCTTGAATCATTTTAAACAAAAGTTCCTCATTTCTTTTTTTTTTTTTTAATTTTTTTTCAACGTTTTTATTTATTTTTGGGACAGAGAGAGACAGAGCATGAACGGGGGAGGGGCAGAGAGAGAGGGAGACACAGAATCGGAAACAGGCTCCAGGCTCCGAGCCATCAGCCCAGAGCCCGACGCGGGGCTCGAACTCATGGACCGTGAGATCGTGACCTGGCTGAAGTCGGACGCTTAACTGACTGCGCCACCCAGTCGCCCCAAAAAGTTCCTCATTTCTAAAAAGCTATATTTACTTACCAGTATGCTTAGTTTAAACCTTGCTTTTCTGGTTTTAATAATTTCTTATCTTTAGAAAACTCTGACATATGTTCATATCTTGATGTGATTAAATGTTTGATGACTCTTTTGATATTGCCCTTCCCTGATCTAGGTCTACAGTGAAAACAAAACTGGCAGCTCAAAAAAGAGAAAGTGACTAATTACATGGTGTTAAAATGTCATCAACATGAGTGTTTCAATTATTGTTTGCTTTTCCAGTTGAACAGAAGATACTTGGGTTTGTGTATAATGATTGAGGCAAAACTGTTCAAGAACTGATGTTTGTTCTTAGATATGAAACCTTTTTAATTTGGTGGCAACTATAATACATACTCTACAAAAGAAACCAAAGGTCCTGGGCATTTGTCAATATCCTTACTGAACGTAACTTCCTTCCCTCTGGACCATCATTGACTCAATATACCCAAATGGAGGGTTCCACTCTTCTCCATTCTGATTAAATACCAAGGACTAATCAGAGCTATTCAGACTTATCATTTTCAGGTGGCTTCGTAAACTACACAGCAGAAATAGGGTTTCTAGAAGTGGGGGGGAAAAAAAGAACCTCAATACAAAATGGTACCAGATACCAAAGAGACTTCCCAATGTAAAATGATACCAAACAGATGCCAAACAGACCTCCCAAGGGACAAAATTAGGATATCCAGTACTCTGTTAGGGAAGAGATGACTGCATAGACATATGTATTATTATCATCATTATTAGTTAAGCTTCCTAGGTAATTCTATTGTTTTGCTAGGGGCTGAGAACCACCGGCATAAGGTGTGAATTGCCCATCAGTTCTGCAAACTCACCCAATACTTGAAAGTGGAAAACCATTCACAGTATCAATGATACAAGTGGTGTTCCAAGCTCTTGGAGCTCTGTACCTGGGTACGGGAGCCCTGTGTTCTGACTGCACACACAATGTCGAGATGATTAGTTGTTACATTTTTAGCAACAAAATTGTAGCAGAATTTCCTGGGCAACTCAATCTTATTCTGAAAGTTCACATTATTAAATGAATACCACATTGCTTGCAGAAGAATACACTGATCATAGCATTTAAGTCTGTCACACACACTTATAGGTACCGCAATCTGTGATATTTAAGGTAAAAAGTCGAAATAATCTTTTAACTAAAAAACAGCTTAGAATGTGTAGATATCTCAGACATCTAAAAATATCTTTAAATATTGTCATTTTATTCATGGACCCCACTGAAGAATGAAATGTTTAAAAAAATGCTATAATTAAAGAAACAATAATGTAATTATTTATACTGTGAGAATTATTACAACAGTAATAGATCAACACTATCTACTCTACAATTCTAGCTTAAAAGCCTGTTGTTGTGTGGGGGGTTGTGCCTGGGTGGCTCAGTCGGTTTAGTGTCCGACTCCGGCTCAAGTCACGATCTCGCGGTTCACCGGTTCAAGCCCTGCGTCAGGCTCTGTGCTGACAGTTCGCAGCCTGGAGCCTGCTTCTGATTCTGTATCTCCCTCTCTCTCTGCCTCTCCCCCACTTGTGCTCTGTCTCTCTTTCTCTCTCAAAAATAAATAAAAAAAAATTTTTAAAAAGTTTAAAGCA